ATATAGCCACCAGCCGGAGGCACCTCCAGGGAATGGGATGTTCCCTTTTGGGAACCCACAGCTGACTAAGGGGAACTCAGACTGTGAGCTCCCTACCTGACAGCCCTCCCAGGTGCTGCTGGCACGGTGATCCCAGGAGAACGGTGCAGACCCTGAGGCTGAGAGACATAGACCCAGCTTGGGCTCCCTGTGGGCAAATTGGGACCGGCACTCCTCTCCCTGGTGGCGATATAGTTCAAACTCTGGGGCCCAGAGGTCAGACCCACAGACCAGATCCTGTACACCCAGTTCTCGCATTGCCCGGGGAACAGAAGGGATATACGTGAACAGCCTACTGAGGTGTGTGTGCCTCCAGGGGCAGATCAGCATCCTAGAGGGCAACCCTCCTCTCAAAAGGAGGCCGTACGCCCAACCCAGGTGGCGTTCCAGTGCAGGGATCCTCCCAGCCGGCATCACAGTCTGGGGAGGCCTGGTGGCATGCGGTCTGGCCTGCTGGCAGAGGCCCAGGAGTAGCCGCGGAGTTGGGGAGGGTGGAAAGAAGCGAGGCCCGCTCCAGACTGCGGGTCTCAGACAGCCCCACCCCCACATGTAGACTTTCTGACTGAGCGGGGCCATTCCAACCCCTACCTGACAGCTTTTCCTGGAAGCAGAGAACAGAACTATGACCCCTGCTAATGGCATTGATGGTGCCTGAGGGCAGGCTTACCCAACCCAGCTCCGCCCAGACTCTCTCCTAGACCAGCCCTCACTGAGGGGAGAAAAGTACACACCTGGAAGTCCCAGGGCCCCACCCACCACCTGAGGCACTAGAGTTCTCTCTACAGGAACAAGAGCTGATAACAGGACACAAAAATAACAGCCTAGCCTGTTCCTCCCACCAAGCACCATCTACTGACAGGGAGGACATCCTGCACACCCTTTTCATGGCACCTACTGACTCCTTATACAGGGAGTGGTCAAATCTCACCCACAGACACCACCTACCGGCTCAGAAACTAAACAAGGTATGTGAATACCCAAACAAAAACCTAAAGAAAAGAAACAACAACTGATCGACATGGGAAGAAATCAGCTAAGGACCTAAGGAAATATGAAGAACCAAATGGAAAACACACCCCCAAAGAGGAGCACCAGCTCCCTAGAAACGGACACCAACCAAAATCAGGCAACCAAAATGACAGAAGAGGAATTTCGTATGGGGATCATAAGAACACTAACCGACCTGCAAAAACAGCTCAATAACCAACACAAAGAAACCACAAAAAGCCTCCAGGACCTAGAACAAAAGTTCACTAAAGAAATAGACACAATGAAGAAAAGTTTAACCGAACTCCTGGAAATGAAGAATCAATTCAGGGAACTACAAAATACAGTGGAAAGTCTCAAGACAACGTAGGTCAAACAGAAGAAAGAATCTCAGAGATTGAAGATAACACCCTCCAACTAAATAAAACAGTAACAGAGATAAAGCAAAGAAACAAGAGAAAAGAGCAAAGCCTACAAGAGATGTGGGATTATGTGAAGAAACCTAATGTGAGGGTCTTACGGTTACTAGAAGGGGAAGAAGACAACACTCAAGGGTTGGACAAGCTATTTGAAGATATAATAGAGGAAAATTTCCCAGGCCTTGCTCAAAATCTCGATATACAAGTTCAAGAAGCTCAGAGGACCCCTGGGAGATTCAATGCAAACAGGAAGACGTCACGACATGCAGTCATCAGACTGACCAAAATATCAACTAAAGAGGCCCTTCTAAGAGCTGTAAGATGAAAGAAGCAAGTAACATACAAGGGAAAGCCAATTCGAATAACATCAGACTTCTCTAATGAGACTTTACAAGCAAGGAGAGATTGGGGCCCCATTCTCACTCTTCTGAAACAAAACAATGCCCAGCCTAGAATCTTATTCCCTGCAAAACTAAGCTTCATATATGAAGGAGAAATAAGACATTCTCAGACAAGCAAAGTCTCAGAGAATTCACCAAGACAAGACCAGCCCTACAAGAAGTACTTAAAACAGCGTTACGCACGGAACATCATAATAATAACCCACGAATATAAAAACAATGAAAACCCAAAGATATTAAAGGCCAGATATTACAATGGCTCAAGACAGAAATCATAGCAACAACATCCAACCCAACAGAATGAACAGTAATCTACCTTACCTATCAGTTCTCTCAATAAATGTGAATGGCTTAAACTCTCCACTCAAGAGACATAGGATGGCTGAATGGATAAGAAAATACAGGCCAAGTATATGCTGTCTTCAGGAAACACATCTAACCTGCAAGGATGCATATAGACTAAAAGTAAAAGGGTGGAGATCAATATTCCAAGCAAATAGAAGCCAAAAGAAGGCTGGCGTGGCAGTTCTAATTTCAGACGATTTAGTTTTTAAACCAACAAAAGTAGTGAAAGACAAAGAGGGTCATTATATAATGGTGAAGGGCACAAAGATAATAAGATTATTACAAAGATAATAAGATTATTAAATAAAAAACTTACAAAGGTAAATATTTACAGTGACTAACGCAGGGAAGTGACAAGGTACATCAATTACACACTTGCTTTTCTCCGAGAATAGAAAAAGAGTGTACAGTTTACTAGAAAACATCCATGAATAAGTTATACCATGAAGATACTCCAAGGATACCAATTTAGTTACTTACACAAAGAACTGACAAAGGGTGTTGACTACAACTTGTTTTTCCCTGTCAACTGAAGCAGTGTTTATAGTTTCTGGTAACATTGATACAACAAACCTAATGTTCTTTCTAAAGAACTCTACATGCAACTCTAACCCTAACCTTAACCATAGCTCAAAATCCTGGCTGTAACACTAGCCCAAAATCCTAACACTAACCCTATTACTAACCTGAAACTAACCATAAGACAAAAACCTAAACTTAACCCTACAATGAAACTCTAACCCTATGCATATCCCAAACCTAACCCTAAGGCAAAACCTTAACCCTAACAATAACACTAGAGTGAAATCCTAACCCTATCCCGAAGCTGAAACTCTAACAGTAACAGTAACACTATCCTAGAAGTACATTGAATATATGCCTGCTTTTCTCTGAAAGTCAGTGTCTCTAGAATCCTGTGAATCGCACAGAAGTAACAGTATATACTCTCATAAAGAAGTTCCAAATGAAAACATTTAGTGTGACTTACACAAAGAAGTGACAAATTGCATTGATAACACAGTTGCTTACTGGCAGACAGGCACCCAGTAAGTCCTGCCTATGCTCTCAAAATATATCTAAAATCTATCCACTGCCCTTTATGTCCACTGCTTGGCCCAGGTCACCACACTCGGCACATTGCTAAGTTCTGTTTGAGCTTTTTTTCATTGAACTCTTCCAACAAGTTTTTGCACTGGTTCCTGTTTTCACCTCATTTTGCAGGTAGGGAAACTGAGGCTCAGAGAGACAAAGTGACTTGCTCAGTGCCCCCAACTGCATGCCCAGCTTCCCATCTAGCTCTGCCCTAATCCACTTATCACCCTGCAGCCAGAGAGAACTTTTGAAAATACAAACGACACCATGTTCTCCTCTTGCTCAAAACCCTCCAATAGCTTTTCACTCCATCTAGAGTAAAATCCAAGTAAAAGCCGTGCACATTACCATGACCTGTCTGTCCTTTCTGCCCCCCTATCTCATCCAGTCTGCTCCTTCCCTCTCTGCCCCATGGCACCGCGCAGGCCTCCTTTCTATTCTGCAGACACTCCAGGCTTTCTTCTGCCAAGCTGTCTGGCATGGGAGGCTCCCGCCGGGAACCCTTTCCCGCCATTTCCCTTTTAACTTTCAAATGGCAGAATGTGCAATACTTAGGAAAGGCTATATAAAATACACTCACACACACCGCATGTGGCACGCACGCACGGTTTAAAGAATGATGATAAATCTAGCACCTGTGTAACTGCCAGCCCAGTTGAGCACAGAAGGTCCTGCCAAGTACCCCTCCCCAATTGTTTCCTCTGCCATCCCCTGAGGTGGCCAATGACCTGACATCTGAAATAATTATTTCTTTGGCTTTCTTTGTAGTTTGACCATCTGTATATAATTCTCCCAAAAACTTTTAATTTTGCATAATTTTAGATTTTATACATGGAATCATCCTGTGTATATTTTTTTGTTTCTGGCTTCCTTTGATCGATACTATTTTCGTGAGGTTTTGCTCTGTGTGTTTGCATGTGGCTGCAGTTCATTCAGGCTGTGGCTGTAGTGCTTCCTGTTATGATAATTGCATTATTTGTTTATCCATTCTGCTGTCCGTGGGCATCTGGATTATTTCCCTTTTGGGGTTATGAGCAACACACCATGGGCATTTGAGGAGATATATTCTGGGCTCATGGAAGGAGTTTTTCAGGGAGTTTTTTTGGTTTGGTTTGGTTTTGCTTTTCTTATGATTTTTTAGGGACAGAGTCTTTCTCTGTCACCCAGGCTGGAGTGCAGTGGTGCGATCACAGCTCACTGTAGCTTCAAACTCCCATGCCCAGACAATTCTCCCACCTCAGCCTCCCTAGTGGCTGGGACCACAGGCACCACCACCTCGCCTGGCTTTAGAAGTAAATTTGCTGGAATGCAGCTTATGAGCATCTTCAAATTGATTAGATGATACCAAACTGTTTTGCAAGATGTCTGTACAAGGTTACACACACCCCAGCAGAGAGCACACATGGTTCGCCGCTACTTAGTCTTGCCAGAACTTTACATCTATAGCCTACGCGGGGATCCTGTGTGAGCTCCACTCAAGTACTGGATACTGCTCCAAGCTCTCATTTGACCCTCACAGCAGCCCCGAGAGGTTGGTGTCATCACTTCCATTTTGCAGTGAGGACGTCACGATCCAGCTGATTTAAGTCATTAGTGAGTCACTGTGCTAGGTTTCAAGCCCAGGTCTGCATGACCTGATCGTAGGCTGTCTCTGCAATGCTGTCTACTGGTGCTGAGTTTGTGGACATATGTTGGGTAGAAATTGCAGCTGTGCTTATCTTGGGATTGAACACTCTTGGGAGCTTAGTGTGAGGACCTCAGTTTTTGGTGTACATCAGAGCCACCTAGTCACCGTCCGAACTCAGGAATCAGAATTGACAGCCATGGGGATCTGCTGGCTGTGAAGTGGCATCTCACTGTGGTCTTCATTCACATTTCCCTATTGACTAATGATGTCGAGCCTTCTGTCATTACCTTACTGGTCATCTGTATTTTCTTTAGCCTTTTGTTCATTTTTGATTGTATTGTTTGCCTTTTTATTTCTGTATTAGAGTCCAGAGTTCTTTGTATATTGTAGATTATAGTTGTATGTGTTGCAAATATGTCATGTCAGTCTATGACTTGTTTTTTCATGTTTTGATGGTGTCCTTTGAAGAGCATAAGGCTTTAATTTTGATGAGATCTGAATGATTTCTTTTTGGTTAGTGTTTTTGTGTCCTGTATCTCTGTTTACCCCAAGGCACCTCTTCTGTTGTGTGTGTGCCTTTAACATACTTCCAAGGTGGTACATTAATGTTGGAGAAACCCAGGTACAATGGCTGTCCTAAGCTTGAGGTCAGATCTGAGTTCAACTCCAGGCTTTGCGAGTTACTGAGCAAGTCGTTTTGTCTCCCTGAACCCCAGTTTCCCTATTTGCAAAATGAAGTAAAAATAGGTACCATTTCCAAAATCTGTTAGAAGAGACCAATGAGATAAAGCTCAAACAGAAGTTAGCCAAGGGCTGGGCATGAACATGCTGTGCAAAAGCCGCCATGTTTTATATGCCGGCTTACTCCAAGCAGCAGCTGCACCAGAAGGAAATAACATGGTTTGTTTTTATTTTCAGTACATCAAGGCCTTTTACAATGAGTCATGGGAAAGAAAGCATGGACATCCAATAGACCCGGACACCCTGACTCTGCTGTGGTCTGTGACTGTGTCCATATTTGCCATCGGTGGACTTGTGGGGACATTAATGGTGAAGATGATCGGAAAGTTTCTTGGGAGGTCAGTAGGGGTTGTCTCTATCCAGATGTCCCCCCATAATGTTCCTAATGTATCTGTGCCACAGTCAGGGTCCTGGCAGCCAACAGAATTCCACTGCATAGTTCAGCTGGAGAGATCTCATGCCCGACGGGCGTGGGGAGGAAGCAGGGTAGCAGAGCCCTGGGAGAACCGAGGCCACAGCGGGTTGGAGAGGAGCTGGCATGTGGAGGGACTTGGGCTGTGACAGAACCCTGGTGCCCAGGGGAGGAGCAGGGAAGGAAGACCAGGAAGACCAGCTCCTGGGGCACAGAGTGAGCAGGGGTGGATCTGGGCTCCGGGGCAGCTGGAGAACTCAGCACCGAGATTGTTCCACCTAAGCACATGCAGACCTGCTTTTAAAGAAAATGAGCGATTTAGACAGTCTTCCTTTGTACAGCTATTTGAACATTTGTTTATCTACTCCCAGATTGTAGACATTTAGGTTATTTCAAATATCTTACATTACAAATAAGGCTGCAGTGAGTATCAAAAATTCTATGTCAAAATTCCCCACTGGCCCTCTGCATTCAGCCCCATTCCACCTGTGAGCCTCATTCCTTGCGGACTTGTGATAGGAAGCCCTCTCTCAGAGCAGAGTGACATATAACACATTCCCCCAACTATGTTTTCTCTGTATCCTTGCTCATAACAAGAACCTCCTGGAAGCTGTTGAGGTGTTTGTGGAAATAGTAGAGTCTCTGGGGCATTCATGTCTGAACTTGAATCCTGTGTCTTCCACATACTGGCTGTGTGGCCTTGGCCAAGTCATTTAATTTATTTGAACCTCAGTTTCCTCATATGTAAGATGGGGGTGAGAGTTCTTACCTGCAAGGACTGTTACAAAGGTCAGAAAATAAATGGAGGGAGTGTGGCCATTAGCAGTAGCTCAATAAATAGAAGCTGTTGTCATTTTACCACCTTATTTAACACCATCCTGATCATCACCATGACATCAATATATAGTAGATGCTCAGCAAAGCTCCATATTATATGGACCTGAAATGAACAGGAGATTCATCAGACCCCAGAAAATCTCCCCTGACCTTGTGGCTACAGAACCTCTGCTAAGAAAGAAGGGTCCTACCCATTCCTTTACACTCTGCCTGGCAGTCCAACATGTAGAAAGAACTGATGATTCAGAACAGGTTAGGACAGGACATCATCCTGAAAACATCCGTGTGGTGCTCGTAAAGGTCTGTGGTCTTCCAGTAAGCTGGGGGAGATGCTGACATCTTCCTTGTGTCCGAGGCCACTTACAGAGCCAGTAACTAATGGGAACTCAGTACCAGGGAAGTACAACTCTTGGATGAAATGGTGAGAGATGCCATGTTCTGAAGTTCTCCAGTGTTCCAGGCACTCACACACTCTCTTGTTTAATTTCTCTCCTCTGTGGGGTCTGGAGATGGGAGATGGGAGGTCAGAGGGATTAGGGGATCTGCACAAGCTTAGTTGGCACATGTGGTGGTTGAGCTCAGGCTGGGACCAATGTGCAGTGGGCTCAGAGCCCTGATCTTTCCACTGTGCCAAGAGATCTTAATTAGGGCCCTGCTAGAAATGGTGCTGTGAAGTCCACAACTGTTTGAAAGCAGGTAAGTGACTGGCTGGCACTCAGATTGGCACCACTGGCCGGGTCCCTGAGGTATGGTCACTAATCCGCTGGCCCAAGCCACACCCTGTCTGTCCCGGCCCGCGGGACCTTCTGTTACTCGCGGGGTCAAGGGGGACCTTGCCTGAAAGAGATGGGCAAGAGAAAGGAACGAGACCAGGCAAAGGGTTGTCAAGGTCTACTTTACTTGGATTCTTAGTAGGTTTTATATACAGAAACAAGGAGTAGAAACGAAATAGAATGGGGGATGATGGAGGCTTGGGTGTGGAATCAGCCCCAATAGCGTCTTATTGGCATCGGAAGTTGTTGTGGATGATCACTACCCTCAACCTGGCAGGGGGTGGGAACAATTGCAGGTCATGCCTGGAGCAAGCACGTCATGGAATGCATTCTTCTCGGAACTATAGCTGGAGGGCTGTGGTGCTATTTTCGTCTTAGGCTATTTTCTGGGCGCGAGCCCCATGTCGAGAAATCGTTGGATGTGGAGGGTGCTAGTCCTCACCACCTGCCACCAGTCCTCTTGCCTATCTCAGTTACACGAAGTCACATACCTCTGCCCAGAGCTGGTGGCCTATGGATCCACTGTTTCATACCCGGCCATGGCACGTAAACCCCAAGGCTGTTCCTTAGGGAGGCTCTTAACCCAAGCAGATGGGACAGGGAAAAGGAACAAGGGGTCGGCTGGGTGGTGCAAGAGTCAGCAGTCCTGATCCCCCATGTGCAGGATGGTGATGTGGGACTTTGCCACCTCCCCTCTCAGCCAACGTGTTTCTCACATGTGAAATAAAGCCAGGGAAAGTAGCTTTACTGTCCTTACCAGGAGGGCAGCAAAAAAAGCAAAAGGAAAGCAAAAGAGAAAATGTCTTTGAAAACATGTTAAATCTCTAAGTGATGGAGGAGTCGTCACATCAACCCAGTGGAGCCAGAGACGTGAGGATGCAGACAGTGAGCAGATCCAAGGATGCTGGTTGTCACTCTCCAAGCAGCGCCCAGTTCCTTTTTTCATCATTATGGGTGTAGAAGTTGAATTGTACTGAAGTTTCAGCTTGAACGGTAGCTCTGTTGGGAGGAAAAGGAGCAAAAACTGAAATAGAAAGCTTCCATTTATTCGCCACCAGCTATAGACCAGTGAGTGTTGATGTATGATATGTCATTTACTTCTTATAAGAAAACTCTGCTTGTATTATTGTCCCTACCGTGCAAACGATGATGAGTTCGAGACCCTGAGAGGCTGAGCATCTTTGCGCAAGTTACAAAGAATGAAGTTGAACTGAAATTCCGATGTGGGCCTGTCTGATCACAGGCCACCACTCTTTCTATAGGTGATGCCACTGGAAGCTCCTTCTGATGCCTAATTATTCCTCTCCGTGGGGACTGTCAGGGAGGAAGAGGAAGCTGGCGCAGTGTAAGCGGCTGAGGGAGGTGAGCGTCGGTGGCAGCCTGGGTGGGCCAGTGGGAGGCACTTAAAGGCTGGGAGAGTGTTCGGGTGGAAGTGTGGTCCTCCGAGTTCAGGACATACACCCAGCAGTAGGATTGTCCCTAGCTAGCGGGTGTCTGACTCATCTGTGATTTGCAAGAAAAATGAGGACGGGGAACACAGGGCCAGGGAATATCCTCCTGAACGATGAACCCCACAGCACATTATCGGCCCCTAAAAAGGAGGCAGGGTCCTCACCTCTTGGAATCCCTGGCTGGGAGAATCCCTGGCCATAAGCATTCTGGTTGAATCCCAGCTCCCTGTTTGGTATCACCTACCCTCTGCTTGCATGGTCACAGTGGCAGAACCCTCCTTCCCTCATGAGACAAGACAGTGACTATGTTGGTGCACAGATGCTCGCTACAGGGCCAGCTCCGAGTCTGGGTGCAGATGCTCACAGCTTATGGAGCTGTGTATGAGCTGCTTAAACTCTCTGAACTTCATTTAGTTCATGGTGACATGAAGATAAAGTAATTCAGTGTCAGAGGATCACTGTGCAGATTAAACGAGGTGGTGGTTATGAAATGTTCATCCCAGCAATTGACAGAGTCAGTGTCCAACTTTTGTTCAGTAGTGTCATCATCGTCATTGTCACCATCATAATTAGCTCTCCCTGAAATGGGTCATTTTAACACTTGACAGAGCCGATTGTGAAATATGTTCTTTAAATTGCACAGAAAGGATCCTCTAACATATATTCTTGGATCTGGTTCTTCCCACTGGAGCAAAGTAGAGAAAATATGTAAGAAAACATAAGGAAACTCAGAGAGGCTTGGAAATCAGATCCTGGGTCAGACTCTTGGACTAGCCGTGTGAACGCGTTGATCCGCGCAGCAAACATTTCTGCGCATCTACCAGGAGTGAGGCCCTGTTCTCGGCCGGGGGCTTCGGTGAACAAGAGCTGCCACACCTGCTGCCTCGCGGCATGCTTGGGCAGGGCAGGCAGCCCCTGAGCAGCTCCTGACCAAGTCACTGGGCTCGGGAAGTGCTGCGGATGGAGGGTGGAGATACAAGAAAGGGCAGTGGCATGCGTCTTAATTTTCAAATCTGTAAAGTGCAGATAAGCAAAGCCACCTGAGAGAGCAGCTGTGGGGTTTGAATGGGATCTAATCACAGGATGTCTTCCGTCACTTGAGAGGCTTTTGAATGCCTGCCACAGGAAGCCAAATCAAAGTGGCTTAAGCCTAAAAAGGAATTAACTGGCTCACATAACTAAGATATAATCTGGCTGAATCCAGTAGCTCAGATGCTATCATAAAAAAATTCCAAATCTGTCTCTTTCTTCCATCTCTCAGCTCTGCCTTTGTTGCCAGGCGCTGTCTTCCGGGTAGTGTCAAGAGGCCCAGCTGGGTGAAAATTATCCTCCCAGTAGTTGTAGTAAAGTCCCAATATGAATCTCCTTGCCCCAGGGAGGTTTCATGCCTTTGGGGCTTCGCAACTGGTAGAGCATTGTTGCCCTGGCAGGGAACATTTCAGAGTCAGGAGACACTTCTGCTTGTCACAGCTGAGGGTGCTTGCAGCACTCAGGAGAGGCAGGGGTGCTGCTGGGCACCTCACAATGAACAGGATAGCCCCATAACAAAGAGTTTTCCAGCCCCGAATGGTGACAGTGCTGAGGTTGAGAAATCCGATAAAATAGCATTCTAATGCCCTGGAGTACGTGCTTCAAAGGAAGAATGTCCTACGTGCTTTGAGAGCTGCCGATGACTGCAATGTCGACTGACCAGGTCTACTTTGCCTGCCCGTTCCTGAAGCCGTAGTGGGGTGGAGACATGAGCACTCCCAGCCTCCACACTGAGTGTGAGCAGGAAGGTTTCTTGATGGAAATTCGAGAACTCTCCCAGGAGAAGGACGGATGCTGGGCAAGGGCCACCAACAGGCATCCTGCACATCACTCCA